TTTGATGCATTTTTCAAATTTCACCTTGGGGCAGAGTTATCTTTTCACAGGGTGGGTAAGGTACACTTTAAGTTTGTGTATAAGCCATAAATCGACACTATGAGCGAGAGCTACTTCGACTCCGTTATGCTTATCCTGAAACTACTGTGTAATGTTGATGCAACACTAAAAAGAGTTGACCTTAACTCTAAAGTGTTAAACTTACACTATCAAATTTGCTGTGTAGGAACACTTCATAGTGTCTGTTTTACACCCTTCTACACAGCAAAATAGTAAATAATCAACACAGTCAAGTGTCAAATTAACACTCAGGAGGTATTTCAACCTCCAGTGTTAACCATCAATAACTCAACGCAGTGTTGAAAAGCATGAGAATCAGAGTTGATTTGTCACCACAGTGGAGTACTTTATTAACTCTGCTTATCATATTTACGCTCATCAGTTATTTGACTTGAAGTGTTCAGTTTTATTAACACTGTACAGTGTTAGTCAGTGTTAATTCTTAACTCTATTTAGAGTTAAATTGTACTCTGAGAATTTAACACTATGGAAAGAGTTAAATTGACACCAATTCAGATAAGAACCAAATAGACTCGGACACAATGTTAAATTTAACTCTTTAAGTGTTGACTTAACACTGCAAAATTTACTATAGACTCAGTACCCCGTAACAATAAAATAAAATATGTATATATATTTTTTAATTATTTAGATCGAGCGCTACTTTTTGGGGATAGCCAGGAAGTTAGCAGAGGTTCAGTTTCAGCTGTAGCCAAACTAGTCCCCCCACTTGAGGCTAGTGTTTTTACCCAACAACAGCACAATATAGCCCAACCTGCTCGGCACCATCCGCTCTGTGAATTTAAAATAAAAAGAAAAGAAAAAAGAAAGAATTTAAAAGAATTTTCCAAATTTCCCTGTGGGATCAATAAAGTATTTTTGAATTGAATTGAATTGAAAAGGATGAATGACTGAAAACATCTCTAAAATGCTGTTTTTGTGTTGTCATCATGCGTGTAGATCATAATGCAGAAATATGATTTTCTTTGTTATTAAAATGTTAATATTAGGATCAGTAAATGAAGTTTGTCGTTAAAGAACGAGTCTCTGAGGAGGAGAATTCTGCAGGGAACATGGTTTCATTTTAAAGTCATCCCAGGTGTGTGTGTGTGTGTGTGTGTGTGTGTGTGTGTGTGTGTGTGTGTGTGTGTGTGTGTGTGTGTGTGTGTGTGTGTGTGTGTGTGTGTGTGTGTGTGTGTGATTATTACCAGCCGGTTGTTGAACCCTGGCAGGATAGTCCTCGGTGGAGTGGGGCTTTCTGGTCCTCGGTCTGGGCTCTGCTTCGAGCTCAGCTCTCCGTGTTGTGTAAAGGGAAATGGCCTGAGGACCGCTGAGCTCATCGTCCACTCTGTGTTCATCAGAGGTGCTGAAGTCTGACGGAGCGGGGGGCCTTCCATTGTTTTCATCAGGGGTTTTGTTTGCTTTACTGAAACCGTCTTCACTCAGGAACGTCTGAGCTTTACTCCCCTTAAAGCTGTTCCTTTTTGAAACCACAGCGTCAGAAGCCATGTTTTTGCTGCCCGCGGCACCGTGGGTTCGGTAGCGTTGCTCTGGTACCAGAGGGCGGCCCCTGAAGGCCAGGTCTGAGTATTTCTGCTGCATTTCCATGACGGACTGGTCGGCACTGTTCAGGTGGTATCGTCGAGGCTTAGGCTTGGGCTTCAGTGGAGGGCTGCTCTCTAAATCCACAGAGACCTGGAGAAAACGAGAGAAAGCTGAGGCTGGAGTCGGCTTATTTAGGGTCAACAGCCTTTCAACCTACCTCTACTTCTTCATCCGTCGTCTCCTCATTGTTGTCTTTGATTTCTTCCAACTTGTTTTTCTTTTCTGTGTGATCCGTCAGTTTTTTATGCTGTTCTCTTCGGTGGAAAGCCTCCAACCATTCCTGCCACATTAGATCAGAAATGTCATGTGCAACAAGTCATATAATGAGACCCTAGCATTTAAATATACAGATTTGTGGATTATATGGAATGTGAATAAAATGGGATTTAACTGTATTTTTGTGACAGTTTGCCTCAATAAGTCTTATGTAGACTGTGGATAAGACACAATGATATTTATATGACATCAGAATTGTCTAGATCAGGKGTATCAAATCCTGGCTCATACATACTGTACACCACAAATCTAAAATCATCATAAAACCCTTAAAAGTTTGCTAGGACATTCATAAAACCTCATTAAAAGCATTCCAAAATACACAATAAAAACATGTCAGCAGACAATGGTTTGTCATGTGTGGCTGTTTATATAGGACCCTGTTAAGGACAGACCCAGCAGAGGGAACAAATGACTTCTTGAACTAATTTTTCATTGTTAGAGGGACTATCGGTATTAATGGTTGCAGTAGATGAGTCACCTGTATTCCCCTTTTCTCATGATTCTCTTGACTATTTTGACCACCTGGGAAAACCTTTTCCTGTGTCTGGCTAAGAAGTTCCCATGAGACAATATTAACAGAGACAACACTCAACCAGTGACTTGTTCACTAACTGCAAACTGTGTTTGTGTTAAAGCTCCTTAAGCATTGGGCTGAAAGGTCAACTTGGTGTCAATTATTGTTCTGAGGTTTTTGAACTCAGTCACTTGAACCAGTTCTTGCCTTTTTATGACCAAAGGTCTGAATACAGAACTGGTACTAGCTGCTCTAAATCTACCTTCCAAACAAGCACCTTGGTTTTACATTAAGGTCCAGAAAACTGTCATCAAATCAAGTAGAGATTTGGTCAATGAGCTGAGAGTTAGAGGGGCTATCAGTGTGTTTCAGACCAGCAGCTAGGGCCACGTCATCAGCAGGGCTAACAGGCTTCTGCAGAACTTAAAGAGGGCATTTAATCACTGAATCATGTGTGTCGAAGCAGGGAAACAAGCAAAACATGCAGGTCAGCAGCCATCAAAAAACAGGATTAAACAGCCCCTGGTTTAGATCATACTTGTGGTCCCAGTTGATCCTCCACCAGACGATCCAGGAGGTGATAGCACTGCACCCGGGCCAGCAGCAGTTCAAAGGCCAGCTGCATGGCTGTCTTTGGGTTGGCGTCCGCACTGAGTCTAAACTCACTGAAATGAATGAAGACCAAAAAGTTAGAAAAAAAAAACAGCATTGAGGTTGTTTTTTTAATCGCAATAATAAGATAGGATAACAGGAAAATATGCTGCAATAGGTGAAAAATAATAAAACAAGAACATTGAGAAAAAAATACAAAAATAAGCAACAATAGTAAATAAAAATTACTATATTATCAA